GGAGATTGTGCATTGCTCACTGGGGAAAAGCCTGTACAGACCCAGTAGGAGAATTAACTTGCCTAGGACAGCAATATTACAATGAGACACTAGGAAAAACTTTATGGAGAGGCATAAAGAATGACTCTGAATCACTGCACCCAGGTCCATTCTCCCATTTCCCTCCTTTAAACCACTCTTGGTACCAGCTTGAAGTTCCAAATACCTGGCAGGTGCCCTCTGGCCTCTACTGGATCTGTGAGCCACAGGCATATCAACAACTGCCAGCTATATGGTCAAGGGCCTGTGTACTCAGAACAATTAGGCCCTCTTTCTTTCTAATCCCGCTAAGGCAAGGGGAAGTCTTAGGGTACCCCATCTATGATGTAACTAAAAGGAAAAATAAGAGGGGCATAACCATAGGAGATGGTATAACCATAGGGAATTGGAAAGACAATAAATGGTCCCCTGAAAGAATAATCTAATACTATGGCCCAGCCACCTGGACAGAAGATGGAAAGTGGGGATGATACTGCACCCCTATATACATGCTGAACCGCATCATAAAATTACAGGCAGTACTTGAGCTAATTACTAATGATACTGTAAGAGTCTTAAATCTGTTAGCCTGGCAAGCTACACAAATGAGAAATGCCATCTACCAAAATAGACTGGCCTTAGACTACCTCCTAGCTCAAGAAGGAGAAGTATGCAGAAAGTTCAACCTAACTAATTGCTGTCTAGAGATTGATGACAATAGAAAAGTCATCAAACAAACAGCTGCCAGAATCCAGAAATTAGCCCATGTCCCAGGGCAGACTTGGTCTCCAGATTCACTCTTTGGGGGCTGGTTTCCATCTCTTGGAGGATTTAAAACCTTAGTAGGAATAGTTCTGGCCATACTAGGGGGCTCCCTCATACTTCCTTGTCTTTTGCCCCTCCTTGTTAAGAACGTGCAGTCAGCTAATGAGGCTCCCGTAACCAGGCAAACTACTAATATCAACCCCTGCTGAATAGGAAACTAGGGCCTCATGAAGGGATAAATTCTGATGATGATGCTTTCTATAAAACTTCATTTATAAGAAGCATCAAATTGGGGGAATGAAGCAGAAAATGTAAAAAGAAAGAACAAGTAAAAGAAAAGAACAAGTCTTCTCTTGCTAGGATGACTCGCTCCAAAACCTAGCGATAGGCAGCAGAGCTCTGAAAAGGATTTGATAACATAACATTATCTGCAAAACCAGAGCCCTCAAGGAATGTGCTTCAGAGCCCCCTCTCCTCCCAGTTATAGGCAAGGACGACAAAACAGGTTTTTCTCCTCTCCCACCTTCCCCCTCCATTTTTGTAAATCCTTCCTTAGTGAAACTCAAGGTTACTTCACAAAGTTTTACAGATTCCTGTTTCTCTTCCGTGTAAAATAACAAGGTCACAAGACATGCTTGAGTAAGACATGTACCAGCTGTAAACTCTGCCTTAGCTTGATAAGTTCCTGTTTTTCCTCAAATTGCAAAATTTGTCACTGTATGATTCACTGCCTTTGTTCTGTTTCTGTAAGCCTGCTTGCCTGCCCTGTAAGTTTCATGCCACTAGATGGCCAACCCCCTTGGTTGCATGTATAAAAGTGAAACCCTGTGTTTGTTCAGGGCTCAACTTTTTGGATGTGAATCTGCTGGACCTGAAGTGCACTCAATAAATCCTTCTATTTCACCCATTTGGTCTCTCCAGTCCTCTGATTCCTGCAACAGCATGTGTAGGTGTATGTGTGTTTGTGTTCTGTAATACTAGCGAAAGTGTGGACAATGAGATTTTCATTACGAGTAACAGAACCATTTGAAAAGCAATTTGAATATACATATATATTTACCTAGTAATTACACATTTGGGAACCTAGTTTAAAAATTAATATGAAGAAACTAAAAACTTGATTTTGGAAATGATTGTTGTAGAATTTTATATGATGGTCCCAAATGGGAAATAGTAAAAACGTCCAATTCTAAGAGATTAGCTAAGCAAACTATGATCTTTTCACCAAGTAGACTATTACTTAGACATTAAAATTATTATAACTATTATTTTTAGAGAGATTCTCGCTGTGTTACTCAGGCTGGAGTACAGTGGTACAATCATGGCTCACTGAAATCTTGGACTCCTGGGCTCAAGCAATCTTCCCACCTCATCCTTCCTTGTAGCTGGGACTACAGGCATGTACCATGAAGCCTGGCTAACTTTATTTTTATTTTTTTGTAGAGACAAAGTCTTGCTATGTTGCCCAGTCTGGCTTGAACAGCTGGATTCAAGTAATCCTCCTGTCTCAGCCTCCTGAAGTGCTAGGATTACAAGCATGAGACATCTCTCTTGGCCTATTATTTGAAATACTATATAATCCCATAGAATAATGTTTATGATATACTATTGAATAAAACAAACTATACAAATTATATATAGTTATACAATTTTATATATATATATTAAAAAAACTATATACAATGTAGTTTAAACTGTGTTAAAATAATTTTTTCATAGAAAGAAAAAACAAAAATTCTGCACAGTATATTGTGTTTGTGTTTGAGTGTTAGGACTAGGTGTGAGTTATTTTTCCTGGTTTTCTTTTCAGAGTTTTTGTGTTTTCTTTCCTAGGAATATATTACCATTATAATGTATAAAATATGATAAAAGGTCAGACCCACTTATCTCTAATGTCCTTTCCAACTCTAGGATGGAGTAATTTGTGTCCCTATGTAATCAAAAGCTTGCTTTGTCTTTCATACTTTTCCTTGTCTCTACCACATGTATATTAATCCAGGATTTATAGTTTATGCTTGTCTTGAAATACATGAATGTTAGCTAAGCTTACAAATAGATCTTAACATTTTGAGGCAGATTCCTGTTCTCAACAGCCAATTTTCTCATAGTAAGCATTCATTCAATATATCTAAGATAAATTTTGAGTGTAAGCAGGCTGGACCAAGACCCTGGTCATTAATGTAAACTTACATTCCCTGCATTGCTAGATATTTTTTCTCGGCTTAATAATATATTGATTGCAGAGGCTTATCTAGGAAAAGTTAGAATTGTTTTGGCTGGCAATTTGATTTTGCATCAGCTACTCTTGTACTATCTCTTGCTTCTGATGAAAAATAGAATTAACTAAAAATAGTTTAGTATTATTAAAATGTTGAGTTTCATGACATATTTTCTGGGATTTCAAAACCTCTGAGCTAAAGTTCTGTCTATAGCTTGGGTCTATAACAGAACTTAATATGTATAAAACAAAGAAGATCCTGACACACCCTTGCATGAAAACATTGCTTGATTCTAAGACCTGAAGTTAGCACTGAACAACAATAGATGTCAAAGTTGGCCAGAATTGTGTTCAAAGCCTCATCATTTATTATCTATGCAACTTTGACTGATTATTTAACTCTTCTGAATTTGAGGTTACCCTCTGTAAATTGTGAATAATGCTTAACAGGTAGGCTTGTTGCAAATATTACATCACCTAATGTTAGAAAACACATAGGAGTCCAATAAACTAAAGTTTTAATTATAACAAGTATCTAAGGATGTGGCTTACAATATTATAACCTCAAAAGTAGATATTGAAATGTTATATTTTTGCAGAATCCAATATGAAACTATTCCACCAATAGAGTCCACTGATGGAGAAAACACATGTCTAATTATGGATTCTTGTATTGACTCATAGGCTTAAAGCTCAAACATTAAGAAATGCTAATGTAGAGAAAGGATGGTGACATGATTGGTAGCAATAAAATTTGGAGTCTTGAAAATGCTGGCTATGAAGCTGAAGTAGGAAAATAAAGGATGTTGCATAGAAAAAATGGCAAGAAATTCAATATATAGATAGTCAGATTTAAGAGCCATTTGATTAATAAACCATTATTGGTTAATATGAGAGAAGCACTTGTATTTTAGGCAATATTTTATAATAGAATTTTGTCCTTGCTAATCTTAAACTTGATTGACTTATACTAAATAGTAACCTCCTAGGTTCAATTTTAATATCATAAATTGTAGGCAAATAAAACTTCCTTATAATTTTACTAATATTAAATAAATTATGTATTTAAAGCATCAAGCTGAATACTTGATACCTGTATGTGCCCAATTATCATAGCTCCCTCTATAACATTCAGAGCAACTCTGGAGTAACATCACTTTAAGATAGATATTGAATGCTAAAATAATTCCATAGTACATTAAGCAGTAAGAAAATCTAAAACAGTAAGGGAAATTTCTGACTCTTCCTGGGCTCCAGTGTTTTCTGCTATAGTGGCCTAAACACCCCTTCCTGGGGTTCTGAGACCATCAGACAGGACTGTGACAATGACAATAAATCATCCCCCAAGCTGCTGCAATTTCATTTGGGGGATGCTTCCAGATGCAGTTATTACCTACATGTTGCACAGTGAGGAAAATGCAGAGCAAATGTAATGTGACCATATTTTAGTCAGAGCTTCTCAGATCTTTCCAGTCCCAAATACAGAAACCCAGAGCAATCTATGGAACCATAATTACATGGATGCTCTTCTGAACTTATCACTTTAAGGAGCTTTCTGAGAACCCCCTTGAGTGTTCTTAGGATATAAGGTGTGTTTACAGATGCAAAGAGGAGCTGAAGCCCTTATCATTTCTGTGGCCTCATGTAAGCCACTCAGCTTCTCCAAGTCTCATTTGGACACCTGAAACAAAATTTCGTGTACTACATGGTGCAAAGGGTCATGAAGGCCTAATGGGATAAGGGATCTAAAAATGCTGTATGGAAAACAACACGCAATACTCTTTATAACACAAACTAGGATTGTTATCTCCAGAGGCAAAGAGATTACATAGTTAAAGGCTTTTAAATAATGTTAAGAAATGATGACCTTGCAAACATAGCCAATAGGGAACTAACTAATGGGGACAGCAAATGAAGTTGCAGAGAGTGATAAGGATATAATTGAAAACCTTTGGAAAACACGAACTCTGTTTTGGGTACTTATCTGTTGGCATCTTACCTTGTTCTTTGTGTTGCTTGGATTCAGATGCTGGATGCTTGATTTTGATGTTTTACCATGCTACTGCCTCCATCTGTACCTGTCTGGGAGAAAAGCAATAAATAGTGAAAATGAGACAGAAGAAGAAAGGAAAGAGAAATGGGGAACAGAGTTCTGCACAGTGCTTAGCGCTACAAGGTCCCAGCATAAGAGGTCCACCCTGACCTTATCCATTGTTATATTTTAGATCCTAGGAACCAATGATCATTTAATCAAAAACATGTCTCTCATAGTGAGGGAAATTATATTCTTTTTGCCCAGTGGAAAATTTACATGTTTATTGGTTATATTCTAGGATGATATTTATTATTCACTGAAAGTTTCAAGGGCAAACAAATACACTAGAAATTTTGGAAAGACTCAAGAAACTATAAAATATTACCCCTTGACAGAACAGTATTTTATAATGATATTTTGTCTGGTGGGCATGGCTGTCTGTATAACACGAAGATTAAACCTTGGCTGGCAGTGAATTTTTATGTATTACCAAGGTCAGAAGCATAAAAGGCCATCCTAAAGAAAGTAGTGTCTGCATAAAGTAGTTCATGCACAAAATGCTTGTGGATGTTGAGTTGAAATGGGAATAAGAATAGCCAAGTACAGGGGCTTCTGGAAAGGTAAAAGATTACAGATGTTGTCATGGGAAATATCCACAGAAGATGAAAGGCTACTTTCACAAGAAGCTAGCCACGCAGAAAGTGAATTCTTAGAAATTGCTATGGGAGCCCTAAGCAGTGACATTTTCATTCAATTGCCATATAGGTTCAATAATTCTCAGATTACCACTGACTTATTAGCAGAATAATCCCAAGGTAATGGATCATCTCTTATAAATGCATGATGTATCTGTAAAGGGCCACAATTAAAGAAACTTTCCCAATGTACAGGTGAAGAAACAAAGTTCAGAGAAGTCTTAGAGCAAACAGGTGTAGATGCTAGCAAGAGTGCAGATCCAAGACACTTGTGCTCCAAAGTCAATTCTCTTAATCAGCTTACTATAGTATACAAGTTCCTATTAATAATGAAGTGTGAAACAAGTGGGAACAGAAGGTTGTGGAACCGGGGAAGTTACCCAAATTTTCTTGAGCTTAGTGTCTTTATTTTTTGAAAGAAATTAATATTAATACCCAAGGCCATAACACTCAATAATGACAGGAAAAATACTTTTCCCACTTTTGTTCTAGCATTATACAAATATTAACAGATAATACCTTATTTATAGTATCTGAAATGTCGACATTCAATAAATTTTACCAACTTGACTCAAGTATCTGCAAATGCTTGTTTTGAGGCATGAATGGATTAATCCCAAACAGGACAAGGACTATGCTAAGAATTAGGAAGAGACAAAACAAACAGGACACGGTATATTAGAAGATAAATACAGTTGGGGTAGTAGTGGAGACAAGGGATGCATACCCCCATAAAATGTTGTTACTCTCAATACTAAATTCTTGTCTAAGAGGAAGGAAATCAAAACTATCAGAAAAATTTTAGTGCCTTAAGACCTTAAAAAAGATGTAAATCACCTAAGTAAAATATGAATGAAAGAAGTATTATATTGTTCGACATGTATAAAAAATAACAATGTTTTATTCATATATTTCTTCAATCACTTTATTTGTGTTAATTTGCCTAAAGTGTGCTTGGAAACAAGAATGAAAAAAACAAATGTGATTCTTTTCCTAATTGAGTTTACATTTTCATGCAAGATATAGACAAGAAAATAAATACCATATTTATAATTTATGATTGTGCTAAGTGCTATGAAACACCAAAGAGACAGATCTAAGCATGATTGGTACCTTAATATGTTTACAAGTTGATTTTGTAGACATGAGACCTGATGGCTATAATAGTCATAGAATCATTGCCAATTATTGGCTATAATTAGACTCCTGCTACAAAAGGGCAACTTAACATCCTTAACTTCTTTTGACAAGGTTCAACTTTTGTTCTTGAAATAATAAAAGGGTTTATTTTCCCTGGAGTCAGTTATTCTGAGCACTACAGAGTTCAACTGTAGTTTAAGATGCCAACATGATACATTTTGACTGGGAAAATATGGCAAAGCATGATTTCTAAGAATTAATTATATCATCCAAAATACATGATAGCAGGGGTTGCTGGTACAAAAATCATATCTTAAAAGAATCCATATGACAAGCATAACATAAAGATACCATATTATGCTTAACATGTGTATAATACAAACAGAAGGCAATGATGATGCATCAAACAATTTAAAGAATTAGCAGATAGCCTAAAACGCTTAAGTAAATCATCGTATTTCATTGAGTCTCATTTTTCTCATCTGAAAAAAAAACGTTGGTAATTAATGTTGGGAACAAATGTTTCTTTGCTAATTTTGATGTTTCCTTGCAGGTGATGAGAACACAATTAGGGTAACATTCCTAGCTTCTTTCTACCCTTTTACTTGTTCTGCTCCAGAAAAATTGGAATAGTGTGATTTGAATGGTAAATTTATGGAGAATAACATGAATGCGCTCTGTTCAGCACTTCTCTTTTCTTTTTAGGAAGAAGTTGTAAAAGGGCCAGGTCTTCCCTTAGAGAGGCCCCACTGAAGAGCTGATTGCCAGGGGCAGGCAAGTCTGTCAGTATTAAGAAGCTGGATGATATTCTTAGATGACTATAATTAGGTGATAAGGCAATAACATGCTGATCTGCTTAGAATTTTATTTCATTTTTCAATTAGTTCAGACACTCATGTGGAAAACAAGTTTTATTTAAACCGTCAGCAATAATAATTTGTGACTTACACATTATGTTGTGAAAATCAAACATAGTGATGAATTTGAAATGGATGTATAAATTCAAATCTCTACATAATCTTGTGCATTTTTTTTTTCATTCAAGCAATATACCTTATAACTAAAACTCAGCTCTCAAAAAGTAGAAGTAAGTGTGGAAGGACAGAATCAAGGCTCAGGAATTTTCCAGCACTATTAGCGTATTCCTAAAATTCCTGAGCTTCAGGCAAAGCTGTTTCTATTGATCCACATGAGGCTTATTTCCATCTCTCAGATAATTGTCTCTGTTTTGAGTTGGATTGCGTCACTCAAAAAAAAACTGTGTTGGAGTCCTAATGCCTGGTGCCTGTCAATATGATATTTTCTGAAAATAGTCTTTATAGATGTAGTCAAATTAAGATGAAGTCCTATTGGAGTATAGGGTGGGCCGTTAACACAATATGAATGGTGCCCTTGTGAGAGATAAGATGCATACAGTCACACAGAAGTGAGATGGCCCTGTGATGTACGTAGAAGCAAGTTAGCAGAGAGATGCATCTACAAATCAAGGAACAACAAGGATTAATGGTAAACACCAGAAGTTAAAACAGGCAAGGAAAGATTCTTCCCTACAGTTCTCAGAGGCAGCATGGCCCTGCCAATGCCTTGACTTCAGACTTCTAGCCTCCAGAAATACAAGTCAATAAATTACTGTCGTTTGAAACCTTCCAGTTTGGGGTACTTTGTTATGGAGGCCCTAGGAAATTAATACAGTGCCCACATCTAGTGGCAGAAAAACCTGGGTATCATTTTTACTGCTCCACTGAAAAGACTGGTACTCCTTGACCTCAGAGAACATTGGAAAGACCATGTCCCAGTTGGCCCTTCTTCCTCAGATGCTGTTGAGCCCAGGACTGTAAATAATAGTTCCCAAACCAATGTTGGCAAAGCAGTGTTTTGCCCAGAAGCTCTGCAAATGGAAGAGTCATGGATGGGCAAGTGGATGACTCAGTAGAGTATATATGTGCTGACTCCCAAATGCTGGAGAGACTCAAAAGTAATCCTAAAATTTAAGTTCATTTTTTTTTAGTATGAAGTAGTTGTGTTTTTGTGATTTACCAAATTAATTCCCAGATCTGAAGCTCCAATGCTTGAAAAACCATGTGGATATAATAGCTACTGGATCTACAGTGTCTTCCAGTACATATACTCCTAATCTCTCAGCTTAACTTCTAGGACTTAATGTCTCTAAAACCTTGGACCCCATGCCTCAGACATGAGTCTTGGCCACTTTTATTCCGACTAGTCTCTTGATCCCAATAGTATGTCTATTTTTATCTTCCTATGTACAGCTGATGATGTTTCTGCAATATAAAAATCTCCCTGCTCCTATTTGTCCATCAAAATTCAACCTTTCAAGTCTTAACTTATAATCCACTTCTACTGCAAACACCCTGCCAGTGACTGTAATCAAGACCAACCATTCCACTACCTTATATTCCTTTCTGGTACTATTGTGTTGGTGGAGTGTGTGAGAGAGAGAGAGAGAGGGGGAGAGAGAGGGGGAGAGAGAGAGGGAGAGAGAGGGTGAGAGAGGGAGAGAGAGAGAGAGGGGATTGTGGGGAGTGGATAGAAAGTGGTAGCCTTGTCTTTCAACAGGATTTTTTAGCTCCTTCAAGTTATACATTACCTAGTTTTCATAATTTTATTATTCTCTTCAGTACATACCACAGTGAAGTGTTTCCTAGTTGATCAATACAATTTTAACTTGACTTTATGACACAGAAGTCTAGTGCTATTGTAATTTTTTTTAAAGCAACTAAGTTGTGGATGCAGAATCTGCGCAAATCATGGAATTCCATTATTTCAACGAATATATGTAAATCTTGGTCAGTCTTAGGTGACAGAGAAGAGTAAAGAGGAATTACTATTTATTGAATTATGTTTCAGATACTGTGCTAAGAAATTTACACAGACAATCTCTCTTAATCCTCAGAGTAACTCATTGAGTTCAGGGTCATTATTTCCAATTTTACAATTAGAAAATTGAGAATCAGAGAGCTTCATGAAGAAACAAGATTAAGCAAAAGGCCCTTGCATAACACTATGCCCTCTCTTCTCTTTCATCATTATATCTTAAGACATTTTAAGGAGCAGAACAAAAACACCTTTGTGTCCTACATAGGGATCAACCAGCATGGTGGCTCACACCTATAACCCAAGCACTTTTAGAGGCTGAGGAAGGAGGACTGCTTAAGGTCTGGAGTTCAAAACCAGCTTGGAAATATAGAAAG